CGAATCTCAACGCAGCCCATCTCACAAGGTCAGAACACTCTGGCTCAGATTACAATCTCAGGTCTGCATGGCTCCCAGACAGGCAAATCGCCAATCATCAGCGCATGTCCGACCTTCGACTGGAACTTGTTCCAGCTGCGTCCTGTGGCTGATCCTCCAACTGCGCATTTCGTGGACAAGGTCGTAGGAGGGACGCTGCATCGGACCACAAGCTGGGCTTCGGGATCAGCTGTGTTGACTGTCAATCAGGATGATAAGGCTGGCAATGCTTACTTCTCCATCCCCCAGCAGCAGGATGTTGTGTTTGCGCTAGTCCTGAAGAACCCAAAGGGTCCCAACCCCTGCCAGTCAGTGTCCCTGAGCCTCTCAGCTCATGGACCAGGAAACACTCCGGTTACGCAGACCGTTACAATGGTTCAAAACCCTCTTGATAGAGCCTTGGAGGATGGAGAGGTCGATGGGGATGTCTGTGTTCTCAAGACTTACGACTACAACTTCCCGACGAGAGTCATCGCGCAGTCGTCGCCTGTCGTACAGGAGAGCAACGTCATCACCATCACTCTGCGGTCTAACATGAACATGTTGAGTAGCTTCTACGGCTCTCAGATCACCATCTCTGGTCTGCAGGGTACAGACACTACGGGCACAAGCTTGTTGGCGACTGCGGTTTCAGACCAATACTTCCCGAACATTCAGAAGACAAGTTGGGATGCCAGTCAAGGCAAGCTAGTAGTCTATCTCGCCCAAGGGACCTGTCAGCTACCTGTCAAAGGCCAGCCCTCTTACTGTATCTATGCGGGCTGGACCTATGTATGGCGTTACACCTTCAAGAATGGAGCCGCAGAGCAAGCAAGCCCGGCTGTGTCCATCTCATCTCAGTTTGCTCAAGGGAGGATTACCAACCCACAAGTCATGACTTCGCCGATGAGCTCCGACTTTCATGTCCTCTACATGACCAGAAACCTTCTCAACAAGTACAACATCGGACAGTTGAATCCTGCTCCTGGAGCTGTCAATCCTGTTTGCATCACCTTGAGAGCAAGCAAGACGATCACTGCCCCTACCACCTTCACCCTCACAGGGTTGAACATGTTCTCCTCCAGCACCAACGTTGCCTTGTACGACGAGTACGCGACTGCCCCGCTTGCCGGGGGGTTGTTCCAGACGGTCGGAGCAAACCCGCAGAGCAACTACGCGACGTACGATCAATCAACGATCCGGTTCCAGCTGGGTCCATCGCAGTCTCTTCAAGAGAGTGTAAAGTACAAGTTTTGCTTCAGGCTCACTAACGCCGTCACGGGTCATGCCACCTGTCCTCAGGTCTCGTTGATCGTCGATTCGCATTCTGCACCAGCGGCGTTCAAGGGGTCGCAGGCGTATCTGTGCAACAACGAGGCGAGCAGGAGGGTCACAGGCTACCCCTCCGAGCCCTCAGGGTGCGCTGGTTACGTCTCAGATCGCAAGTTCGTATCGTCAACCCTCCGGTCAGGGTCAAACGTGACTGCAAGTACTGCGTGGCTGACGATGGAGCTACAGCCCAACTATCCTCTCACCCCTGGCCACACAATCACCGTTGGCTCGTTCCTGAGCATGAAGAACGCGGGGTCGTCGGACGTGCCATGTACGATAGTTCGCAATGGCCAGGTGGTCAACTCTGTCACCAATCAGCACAGTAACAAGGGAATCTTTGCTGCTGCTACGTTCGAGAGTGTTTGCAAGTTCATCGACAACCAGATCAAGATTTCTTACACGGGGGGCCAAGGCTCGTCCTCCAGTCTGGTCTACGACCCATATTACGACGTGACTGCTCGCCGATCGAGGGGTCTGTACAAGGTGGAGGTGATGGCCGGGGGCTCTCAGTATGGAGCTGCCAGCGTCATCATCTGTGACATCACGCCTGGCGAAGAGTTCTGGACCAAGACGACCTGCACAGATGCTGGAGTAGTGTTTGCTGCTGGCAGCTCAGCCAGGGCACAAGCGACCGTCTTGTCTGGCACTGTTGTCTCCATCAATCTCACGGCGTCGGGATCAGGCTACGCTGTCGCTCCCCGCGTGTTCATAGTCGACCCTACAGGGTCAGGCAGGGGTGCTCTAGCAAGAGCCTTTGTATACGACTTGTCCATCTACACGGTGCAGCTTCAGCTTGTCAATCAGAACACTCCTGCCCCTGCTGGAAGCTTCACGGTCTCGTCTCAGTCGTTTGTACCTGCCGCTTTAGACAGCGGGGATGGAGCTCTATCCAAGTCAAGCTTGAAGCTTCATGATCACAATAGCTCTCAGGTTGTCTTCACTGTCACTCCCCAACACAACCTCTACGAGGGTGACATGCTCCTCGTCAACCTGCCGGCATATGACGTCATCACTGGGCCGATCTTTGGAGTTACCTCCTCCCCCAACCCAGCCTTTACGACCTTCTCGACCCAGCTGGAGTGGGAGCTGAACTACCACGAGAAAGATCGGGCTCGAGCTTACGTCAGCAACGGCTGGGTAGCGGATGGCAACAGGCATCGCTCGGGAGACGGAGACGTTGACGGCTTGTTCGTGCTGTCGCCAGAGGATGATGGCTACAACAAGAACAAGGACCTGTGCTGGAGCCGAGTCTCCTGCCCTTGGGGCTTCCCGGACAGCGACATCACCTTCTCGAACCCATCCAGCACTTTGTCACTAGTCAAGGTACAGAGTACTTCTTCGTCTCTGGGCCACTCGCACGACATCTGTTACAAGAACAGCAGCTTCAACCTGCCCCATCCGTCAGACTACGTCGGTATGCAGCTCAAGTGCCGCAACAACCAGCACCAGGCGACCGACGGAGGTCAAGTCACCAGCGTGCGAGTGCGACATGGCGGGCTGACGGCCGTCAGCGGGAGGTACACAGAGACTTCAAGCATCTCCGCTGCAGCACCGACGTTTGTGGCAGCAGCAGCTGGTGCAACCAGTCAAGCTACCGGGTCGCTGATGTACCAGGTGGTTGGAGTTCAGTACATGTCAGGCAGCTCCTTGACAGATGGTGACGTCATTGTGTTTGACTCGACCTACCAAGTGTCGCCTGCCGCTGCCTCTGTCTCGTCCCTCTACAGCACCAGCCCAGCTGTGCATGTCGCGTCTCCCGGCTTGTACTCAGGCTTCCCGTACGCGACAGTCACTGGCAAGGACACGCAACTTCAAGTGCTGCTGAGCGTATCGAGCGCCAGCCTGTCCTCTCAAGGCAGCGGATACACTTCCATCCCAACCGTTACAACCTCCCTCAAGCCAAGTGTTGCTCTGCCTTCCGAAGTCCAGCAGCTGGAGCTTCCCGTGTTTGACGTGACGGTGACAAACGCTACCGGCACTGTCATCACCCAGTCTATCCTCGACTACAACCCAGCTAGACAATGCTTCGTGGTGGCGGAAGAGTTTCCGACTTCCTTCTTGAGCGACTGTCAGGTCGTGCCCAAGGAGCAGGTCGGTCGGTACACCGGCATGACAGCGATGATCGGGTCCAACGAGTACGTCATCAAGCAGGGAGCAGGTGGCGTCTACTGGGTGGCAGACCTCAAGGGCAACAAGCCCCGGAGCGTCGACCTGGCCAACAAGCCCTACACCATCTACACGCAGCTGCAGCTGCAGGTGGCGAAGGGCAAGTGGATCCGACAGGGCGAGAGCGTCAGCATCAGCATCCCCGGCTACCGGTTCAAGTCGGTCCCTAGCAACCCCAACGCGTTCGTCACTCCCTCTACGGATGACGCCTCCAAGACCATCCGAGAGAGGACGAGGTTTCAGTTCGCGACGCCCATCAGCGTTGGCAACGTTGGTATGGCAGGAGCGACGACGGCAAGGATGCTGATGTTTGGTGGGGCCATCTCAAGCAGCGACACCTGTACCATCCAGGGGAGCGACATAGAGGCCCCTCAGACCTCCGACGGGGTGACGGTCAACCATGCTGAGACCATGACTAGTGTAGGAGCGAGCAAGCCAGTCTTCCTTCCTCCCTCGACGTGGGGCTCCGGATATCTCAAGCCCGCATGGTTCAAAGGTACCTGCGCCTCAAGCAGAGCCTTGCACGGTATCTTCATGCTTGATGGTCAAAGGACAGGCGTCGAATGGATCGAGGTCGTGACCCCCGGCACTAGTTGCAGCTCCAACGTCAACGTTATCATCTCCAGCCCTTCCAAGGATGCAGTAACCGACGCCTTGACAAACGATCCTGTCTGTCCCGACGACTCCAGCCTGTGCACTCAGGCAACGGCTGTTGCGACGGTTAGCGGAGGCTCGATCACGGGCATTGCCCTGACAAACGGAGGGAGTGGATATTTCTTGGCGCCTACGGTGAGGCTGGTCAACTCAGACTCCAACACTCCTTGCGACGCCTTTGCCGTCGCTCATCTGTCTCATAACTTTACAGCTCGACTGCAAGTGTCGCCGAACTCAAACCTGATGATGTATCGGAGCGAAAGAGACCAGTACGACTCGCTCACTGGCTTGCACTCTGCTGTATTCTCCCCGGTATCTCTCCACAAGAAGCATGACGCAAGGAAGATAACCGCTGAGGTCGGCACAGGATACGTCGCTGCCATTGTCGTCACGTCGGTTCCCCCTGCCTCCTGTGCCGGCCCGATAGAAATCGAGGCTCCGCCTTCAGGCAGGACCGCAAGGGCTCAGGCAGCAGCAGCTGCAGGCTTGTCGTTCATTCAGGTGATCGATGGAGGCTACGGCTACGAGTATCCTCCCGCCGTCAGCTTTGCTTGCGGGCAAGGCGCTGCTCGCGCTATCCTAGGCTTCACTACCGCAGATGTTCACATGGCTGGAACCAGGGTCAACTCTTCTTACACGGGGCTACAACCTGCCCTGCTCTCAGCTGTCACGTCAGCACCAGCCTTTCAGACTACCGTGGACTCGCCGGTGGTGGTTGGCTTCAACAGCGTCTGCAGCAACGGGGCTACACTGACCTACTCCCGGGCCGGCAGCGGATGGAACAACTCGCGGGTGACTGGGATCAGCCTACCTGTCGGCATCAACCTCAACGGGTTTGCCTTCGGCTTCACGTCCGTTACCATCAGCCCTTCTCCTGTCAACGCCCACGGGCTGGTCGACCCTGCAGCAGACGCTCTCGCAGTTCCCACCTGGTCCTTTCCTGCCTCAGGATCAGTGCTTGTCAACGGAGTGGAGGGGGTGGTGCAGTCGCTGCCTGGCACCGGGTCAGGCAAGGGCGTGAATTCAATCATTCTGTACGATGGGCCGAGCTCCAAGGTTGAGCTGACAACCTGCGACAAGGCCGTTCTTGTCTTCAACCCTCCACAACGTCCAGGAGGGAAGACCTTGAAAGTTCAACTGCTTCAACCCGCTGGCTCCAGCCTTCCCATCTACGTGATCGTGCAGCAGGGGCAGGGGTACGCCAACATCCCGATAGTCGTTGACATTGACTTCGACGTCGGAGGCTCCGCCAAGAGCTACTCCAAGGACTTTGCTGACCTCTCAAGCAGCCAGCAGGCTACCTGCAGGCCCTCCTACTTTGCCTTCAACACAGCATACCAGGGCTACAACGTCTACTCGGCATTCGTCAGGTCCTCCAGCACTTCAGCACAGCCAACAGGCCTGACGCTAGATGGAGTGCTGATGACGCGGGAAGGGTACGGGTACGAGACTGCTCCTCCAGCCACCTTGAGCTGCAGCGGATGCTCCACCAGCCAGTGTGCTGATCAGTACGCGTCCTCCATCGCCAATGACGTCTGCACGGCCTCTGCTCTCACCGTTGACGCTACGGTGAGCGGGGGATGCACGGGAGGCTGTCAACGGCAGGTGAATGTCAACGCTTTCTTCTCACCCAACAACGGCAACGGAATGCAGATCTGCTCGCCTGCTGCTGGTGCCGGTGACTACCGTACACGCAAGACGCTCCAAATGCGCGTGTCCAACGGGCTATCTGCCTTCTCAACCAACAACGTGTACACTGTTAGACGCAGCCAGGGCTTCCAAGGCGCGAAGGGCTCACTGATCTTCAAGATCACCGGCAACGGCGCCTTCTCCCTCTCGTCTCTCTGCGAGGTCCCACGAGTCATCGTGGAGCCTCCACCTAGCGGGGGGGTGCAGGCTCAGGTCAACCTTGACTACCTCGACACCTCTTACGACCCTTACACCAACAGACCGTCCGCAAGCTTGACAGCAGCCAGCAAGGGGTTTGCAGCTGAGAATGCAACGTACAGGTACCTGCTCAAGGTCGTCAATGCAGGATCAGGGTACCTCAAACCTCCGAGCATCAGCATAGTCTCACCGTCGGGTCTGTTGCCTACCTGCCCTCCTCCCATAGTTGGCGCCTTCCCGAGGAACGGGCTGGTTGCGTCCAGGGTGGAGCTCATTCGAAACATTTCTCTCCCCGAAGCCAACCAGGGAAGTACTAAGGTCCAGCCGACGTGCAGCAGCGGATCGTTCGTCGTCAAGTCACTTTGCCCAGGCTCCAAGCAGTGTACGAGCTCTTACTCGCGAGCAGAGCTGAACCCGCTCCCTTCCTGCTCGACGTCATCGCAGTGCGCCGGTTGCAGTACCTTCCCTTGTTCGTCCCATGCATGCGGGCCTGACAATTGTCCTTCTTACCTCTCGACGGTACTCGACGCTTCTCTTTCTGACGTGGTGCCAGACGAAGCGCTCGCTGTGATCGGATGGGATGCTCGGGCCCAGCAGCCAGTCCTGCTCAACCAGGGCTTCGGGTTTTCTCCCAGCTCGCCTAACCCGCTCCGACTTGAGTTCCCCTCCGACTCAGGGCAGGCGTATCCCTGCGCGGAGATTCTTCTCTACCTCTCAGCTGACTACAGCTCTGAGGCCCTTCAGCCAGGCCCTCTGCACTGGCCGGGCGACCTGTCCTACAACCAGAACGCTATCCGGAACTATGCTGGGGAGGTGACGGAGGTCGAATACTTGTTTCGACCTGGCTTCATCAATGCAATCTACGGCTCGTTCAGCAACTTCCCTGTGACTACGCTCATCTCTCTTAGAGATCAGTCAGCCCGCAGACTTTTGCAGGCCTCCAGCTCAGCTCTGCTGGGGGTTGTGTCAGCAGGAGGGTTCAAGGTCGGAGATTACATCCGACTGGCTGACGAGGTCATGCTAGTCAACGCGGTCAGCCAGCAGCAGAACACGCTGTCGGTCACCCGAGGAGCATTGAACACCAGCGTTGCTTCCTCCTTCGCTCTAGGAACCGTAGTCCGCACTTTCAACCCCGGCTCGGTGCTGCTGCAAGACGTCGCAAGCGACGCGACGACCATTCAAGTATCGGAATCATCAGGGCTCAACTCGGACAGATACATCCAGGTAGAGCATGAGATCATGTACATCACCAGCGTCGACGCCTCGTCCATGACCGTCCTGCGGGCTCAGGAAGGGACGCGTGCGAGCAGCCATGCCGCCTTCAAGCCAGTGGGCTACATCCGTCCTTCCCAGCAGTATCCTATCGTGCTGCTGGAGGCCGTCAGCGCCAGTCAGACGACTTTGTCCGTGTCTGACGGGAGTTTCTTCTATCCGGGCGCCTCCATCCAGGTGCTGAGCGAGACCATGGCGGTCACAGCTGTCTCAGGCGACACCCTGACTGTCCAGCGAGGTCAAGAGTCGACCTCACCTGCCGCGTATCCCAAGCAGGTGCTGGTGACGCTTGTGCAAGGCTCGGCAAGCGTTGTATCGGTTACCAGCAGCACGATACCTTCTATCAAAAGATCCTCCATGAATCTCCTGAGTTTAACTCAATCCACTGACGCCATTCTTAATGTGATGGACCCGGTGAAGAACACGTCATCGTCCGGCTTTCAACCTGGCGATTATGTGGGAATTTATAATGACTTCTATATCTTGAAGGAAGTGATGTTAGTGTTGAGTACTGAGACAGCTAGAGTATCAGATTATCTTTATCAGAATCTGACTGTTGCAAGAGCACAGTTTCAGACGACGGCCAGCTTGTTTTCCCCAGGACTCCCACTAACTCTCGTCTCAAGTCCGCGCATTGTGGAACAGATGCTAAGCAAGACGGATACAATCCCTGTCTTCTCCACATCCACAGATCTGCAAGCTGGAGACCTCCTGCGAGTCAGCTCAGCTTCAAATGAATGGCAGATTGAAGTGATGGAGTATCAGTCTGATGGGAGTGTACTTCGAGGATTGATCCCTGATTACTTTGGCAGGTCGCAGGCATCATCCATATCAGCAGGAGCTCTTGTCCAGACCATTGCACAGCCTGCTTACTTGAGTCCTCCTTACTGCACTTCTAAGAGTGGTTCAGATTTGAACATGACGAGTGTCTCTAGCTTCGCTGTCGGCGACATAGTGTCGGATGGCATTGCGGTTTACAACGTGACAGCTATCAATGTTGGGTCAAGTCAGATGACCGTTGAAAGCCTTTATGTCTCAGGTGCTACTCCATTATGCTCGACCAAATTTGGTGATCCTCCTTCATACGTAGTCAAGACAGAGGGCCTGAGGGTCTTGAGTTCTGCTGTGAAAGTCGATCAAGGAAACTTTTTACAAGAATATCCGTTCTTGTTTTCAATCAACTTGCAGACCGTGGTCTCTGATTTCTATGCACCTGGAGACTTTGTTTGGATTGCTGACAAGAGCACGTCTCGTTCTGGCATTTTTGTAGTTGAGGATGTTGGAAACTACTCCCTGAATGTCTCAGTTTTCTCATTGGATAAACAAGATGAACCTCAAATTAATTTTGGGATAGGCACAGCAGTTCTCTACAAGTACGAACGCTTCGATGTGATCAACGGTACTGCTCTCTCCCCAGGAGACATCGTGCTCTTCTCGTGGTTATTTCAGGGCGGAACAGGTCAAATCATTTCTGCCACTGAAAATGAAATTCGATTGAAAATCACTGGCGCAAGATATTATTTTCTCAAAACTCCTTCTAGATCATCTTTGTACTGGCGTATCAATGATTTGTGTAAGACCTTCCAGCTCCTCCCGGTGTCAAAGACGAGCTACGCCAGGTCAAAGCTTGCTCTCGCTATCAACTCCGAGGTCAACACTATGACTCTCTTTGACGCGTCCGGGTTTAGAGTGGGGGACAGCTTCACCGTCGACCAAGAGGTCATGACCATAGACAACCTCAACGGCAACCTCATCCAGGTCAAGCGCGCTCAGCGAGGCACCTCCGCTGCTTCTCATGCGCTGGACGCGCTTGTAGAATGGACGGCGCCGCTATCCGCTGCCTCTCCTCAAGTCTCGTCCGTGACCCCTTTGCTCCGACGTGACCAGCACTTGCGATACATCTCTCAGGTCGGCCCCATCACCCTTCCCAGCTCAATCCAGCAGCTCTCGAGCTATCAGAATGTATGGGCAGAGCTCGACGAGGAGATCATCTTGATCCGACAGCCCGCCTCAGGCATCGTCAAGGCGTCTGATCGGGGGCTGAGAGGAACAGCAGCGGCGGCGCACGTGAGCAACACGACCTACAACGTCCCCAACGCGTTCTTCTCCTGGCTCTTCTCCTTCAAGTCAAGCCTGCCAGGTGCATCAGGCTTCTCAGCTCTGCCCGTATACGACATGAACGCTGCTGGAGTCATCGCCTTGTCAGGGGTTCACGTGCTGTCGGGAGGTAGCAGGGTGACGAGCGAGCCGACTCTAGAACTCACTCTCAACCGCTTCATTGAGAACGAGGCCCGAGGACAGTCAGTCGCAGGCCCTTCGTACTCATACCGCACCTTGATCCAGCAGACCTTCCTGCAGGTTGACCTGTCCGACAAGTTCACTGGGAGGCTCATAAGGCCGAGCCTCAACTACCCAGTTGCCTACCAACCTTGGAGGTTCCCAGCTGATCCTCTTTACTTCCAGGACAGGATGGACGGCTTTGATCCTGCCTCCGACAGCTCCATCCTGTCTCCTTCCCACAACAGCTCCAACGCCATCAACGGGAGCTCAGCTGACCCCTTCGAGCCAGGCTCACCTGTCTTCGTGCTGGACTCCTTCGGTCACATGCTGGGGGATCAGGCGGTCCATCAGCAGAGCATCGTGGTATCGGATGGCGCTACTTACACCTACTCCATCAGCAGCAGGCCGTCCGTCCTCGACTCGGTCTGGAGCAGCCCACCCTTGCTGATAGTCTCAACCTCCTCGCCTACATCCGTAGACCTGTTCCTCAATGACACGGTCGCTGGCGGGTACTCCAACGGACAGCACACTGCTTTGCTGTCCTCTAGCACGAGAATGTTTGTCTGGAAGACGGATCCTCGCAAGCTCGCGGTGCTTGCAGGACCAGCAAGCGCAGCAGCCTCTTCGGCGAGCTTCACATCCTCAACACCAGCACCTGGCGTCAACGTCGGCGCCATCGTCGGCGGCGTGATCGGTGGCATCGTCGGAGCTGCTGGGCTCGGCATGCTGGCTTACAAGCTTTTCGCTCATAAGAAAGTCGCCAAGTCAGCGGATGTAGAGATGGCGCCGGTGTACGAATCTCAGGCGATCGCCTATCTCGTGCAGTACACTACACCACCTATAGAGAGCAGAACTTGACTGGCGGGAGTCAAGAAGAGGTGATATGTTGTCATGATCCGGCAAGCTGTAGCTCCTGTAGTTTGCCTCTTTGACCTCGCCATGAGCGAGGAAGCTTTGAGTTGTTGAAATGAATTTATGATGTGTGAACACACGATGAGAAGCAAGAAGGAGTGAAAAGGGAGGAAAAGGGAGGAGAGGAGAGGTGTTGTACACCGGACCAAAGACTCATACCGCACACCGTGCCCGGCACGTTTAGGGAAATAGGTTTCATGTCGTAGACGACAGATGTAGTCTGTCGTGCCCGTTGTGTTCTAGTAACCGCAGCAGTGATTGCTGTGGTGCTCTCTCTTCTTCCCAAGGTTGTGTGTTCATCATGAGGAGAAGGACACGGCAGGGCAGGCAGGACAGGGTGAGGGAAGAGACGGAGGGGAGGAAGAGGATGCAAAGGTCAGAGGCGAATACAGCAGCGCAGGGTCAGGAAAAGAGACAAGCAAAAAAGGATGTAACACAGGTGTGTGAGAAAGGATAGGAGAAAACAGTTCCAGGCAATGCAGTGGATATACTATCCTGCTCATCAGTTGGAACGTCTAATGTTGACCCTTCAGCTCACCCAGCCTGACTGAGAAAGCTTCAGCCCCCTGCTCGACGCTCGTCTCACCGCCAGCTCTTGCCCCTAGCAGCACGAACACGCTCTTCCCCTTCCCCGCCATCCCCGCCTCCCCGCCAGCTGCACCACGACCCTCCCCATCACTCGGCATCGCGTCGCTCGAGCACGGACCTGAGCCGTCGGCGCGCCTCCGCCATGCCCGCCGTCATGCTGCGCAAGGCCTTGCATCCGTCACGCTGTATCCACCAGTCGTCCGGGTGTCTGGACATGGCGCTGACGACGGCCTCGATCGCTCCCGCCTCCCGCGCCCGCGCCTGGCTGTCAGCCATGCCCGCCGTCATGCTTTGAAGTGCTTGGCATGCTGACCATTGCAAGTATCTCTCGTCCGCGTGCGTGGACATGGCGCTGACGACGGCCTCGATCGCTCCCGCCTCCCGCGCCCGCGCCTGGCTCTCTTTGATGCGACTGACGGTATGTCTCAAGGCCCAGCACGCAGCCTGCTGTACGCCAGCGTCGTCCGCGTGCCTGGACATCGCCCTCACTACCGCCTCGATCGCTCCCGCCTCGCGCGCCCGCGGTTGAAGTAGGCCAGCGCCTCCACCTCCGTCTGCACCTCCTCGGTGAAGTGGATGTTGTGGAGGAACGTCAGCCAGCAGCTGGTGTCCCCGAGGCTGTTCTGGTTGCACTCGACGATGTTCTCCTTGGCCCACCCCCAGTCCACGAAGGGGACGTCGATGCGCTTGGCCTTGAAGATCCGCTCGAACACCTCCCCGTGGCTGATCCCCTTCATGTTGCATATGATGAAGGCCGTGATCGAGGCGATGTGCTCGTAATCCACCCCGATGTCCTTGCAGGTCTTGATGTACTGCCCCGTCACCCTGTTGCTGATGAACTTCCCGACCGCCTCCTGCGTGGGCTCGGTGGAGACGGGTATGTGCGCCCGCCTCGGGATGGACCCGCCTATCCCAACCTTGAGGAGCGCGTTGGGCTGCGGTTTCTTGCTGTTCCTGTCGATGAAGGAGAAGGAGCTGTGCTGTGACCCCACGACCTTCAGGTGCCTCATGTCCTTGAGCGCGTTGGTGTTGATGTTGTCTATGCCGCTGACGGTCGTCATTCTTGCTGTGTACGAGTTGGACACATTGTAAATATACAAGATTTCAATCGTAGCATATTTACGGTAATGTACATTGAGTAACGCGATTGGGCTATGATATTTGCATTACTGGCTATAATATGCTGGTCAATTAGCATATTGCTATTGCTACATCATAAATGGAAGCATTCAAGGGAGGGTAAGGATTATATCCCTGACAATAATCTACAATGGTTTCAACCCGACGATGTCTGCAACTCGCACTGTGCGCACGAGAAATGGATCGTGCTATTCGGTGTCATCGGTTTGGTCTTTCTTGTTCTGTCGCAGGTTGAATGAATCTTACGGGTTCCTTCCTCTGCGTATCGATGTGCAGGACCCGGCAGAGGGTCCAAGGGTCGTGTCCCAGGTTGACGATGCACTCCACCTCGTGGGGGACGTTCTTGGTGAACCACTCGAAGTTCTTTGTCGCGCTCGCCTCGTGCCCTATCCATTGCAACGACACAAGCCCCTTGACATCCTTGAACATGCCCAGCAGTATCTGGTAGCGCTCCAGCGGGTCACTCGCCGCGACGCTCTCGCCCTTGTACATCGCGATGTCGTAGATCAACACCCTCGGCTCCATCCCTCTCTCCGTCCTGTCCTCTACAAAGTGCGAGAGGATCATCGTGCACTCTGGCATGCGGTGACCCAGCATCGCGCACTCGGATGCGAAGAGTATGCGGCCCTTTATCCCCACATAGGTCCTCTTGCTGTCGTCGACGTAGAGCAGCACGGGGACCCTCTGCCTCGGCAGCCAGGTCGCCATCCTCACCTTCCCGCACTCGTCCGTGCACTCCCTCAGGTTCCGGCACCTCGGGTTGGTGCAGATGGGGTGTGTGCCCCGGTGGAACGCGTGGAGCTCCACCGCCGACTCCCTCGTCATCTCCGTCGGTATACCGAATACGTCGAAGGACTCGCATACGCAGAGGTGCACCACCGCCTTGGCCACCAGGGGGTCGCACTCCCATGAGGTCATGGGGGGCCAAGGCAGGGGTTGCCAAACCATACCAAAAACACCCCGATCTACCCACTTCAACCCTTTTTATTTTGCATGGTGTTGTATTTAAACCGATTCTTTTGACTTCGAGGTGAGATCATGAATACTTCCACATTCCTCCGTCTCTTGCCATACCTCCTACAATGGGGTTCGGTCTTCTTCCAGTACCGATATATGGAACACTTACTCACCGATGTCGCTGACGTCGCCGTCAGTGTCCACCTGTTTGTCTGCAACATGTGCACGGGCAACTACCTTGTATACGCCAACTTTGATAACCTCATGCTGGGTGTCTTGAGCATCTTCCTCTGGAGATGCACGATCCTCACCTTCCATTGGATGATCATCCCCAAAGAACCCACCAACGAGCTCTATGTGCCGCTGATGCTGCCCCTAGAGGCCATTTCCCTCTTCCGGATCATGATCATCCGCAAATATCTGCTGACAGCCAGCGTGAGCATCGAACTTATACCCCTGTTGATCCTCATGGGCCTGGAGCTTGTCTCCACTTACTTCACGACCAACGGCATCTGCCAGTGCCATTGGGAAAAATTGAACCTAAGCCTGGTAGTGGTGCCTACATTCTTCATGAAATTCTTCAACATGATGTACTACCTGAACATCATTGGCATCTTCCATGTGATGTACGCGCTTCTATCGTTCATGAGCACTATGTATCTACTTATGGAGGCTGACACGTTGAATCTATACAAACACACGGCCAGAATGGCCCAGTTGAAAAGAGATATAGTACTGCACGTCGAGACCGACCGCGGCATGGCGAGGAAAATCCTGGACGAGATAGACTCCGTGTCTATGTCCCTTGCAAAGAGCGATACCACCATCCGCGTGTTCATGGTCTTGTACATCTTATCGAGCTTGTTTTCGGTGCTCCCGAAATTTCACTTCTCGTACACCGACGTCGACAATTCAACCTGCATGCCGATATACGTAAAGGACAGCAAAGTCAACACAAAGATTCTCCACAAGAGGCTGCGTAATGCGTTCAGACCCCTCTTCAAGCTTGCCATCGCATTCAATGCGATCGGATACGCCATCTGTGCCGTCATTATCGCGGTCTTCTATGTGGTCACCCAAAACTATGTTATCACCATCTCATCTATCTGGGTATTATGGGTGCTCTCGTCGCTGCAAACAATGCACATTGGTGGTTTCTACCACTTTGTCAACCAGCTCAACAAGAGGAACCCTGACAAGAATAGGTACTTCGATATGATAACCGCCAATTCGATGAATAACGGCTGCTTCATCATCTATTGCCTGGCAATGTTGGTGATGTTCCCGACTTCATACCGTACCATTGCCTATCTTTGTTGGTAGTCGATCCTAGAAATAAACGACACGTCCAACTGTGTGCATTGAGGCGCATGCGTGTATATATTCCCCTTCTCACCCTCCCTGACTTAGATACCCCCCGGCAGCCCGCCCCTACCATGGCCGCGGTGCATGCGACGATGCCCTCAGACAACATCTTCTCGGGCATCAAGCCCGACGACAGGGTGGTGATCGAGAACGTGATCGCCGTGATGAAGACGCTGAGTCGCGACCTCTCCTTCTCGGATTTCGAGATCCGCAGCACCCAGAATGGCTTCGTGCTGATCGCCAAGACCTGCTCCCACGTGATGGTGGGGATGGCCGACCTGCAGGTGATCAAGGACTGCAACCCCGTGAGGATACAGAACGTAGCGGTGGCGTGGGGGGAGAACAACCGCCTTGCCGTGCATGTCAAGATCCTCAACAGCACGGCACCCGTGACCGTCACGGAGACCGACATCATACGCGTGAAGAGGAAGAGGCTGTGGGGGTTCCTATAAATGCCCTCCTTGTGCGCCAATCAGGAGGAGGGGAGATGACCGAGGGCCATACGAGGGCTGGCAAGGAGGGCTACTTGCAGAAGATGGTATCGGAGCACATGTCTCTCCTGCAGGATCACATCGATTCATTGAAGGACCTAGGGGTAGATATCGAGGATGAGGCACAGCTGGAGCGGATACGCAGCTGCAGCAGCATGGCGGGGCTGCCCCCCCTCTACTCGCAGGTGATTCACCACATGGGGCATCCCTGCTACGACATACGGGTGACCGCCAATGACTTCTGCGACGATGTCGACGTCGTCATCCGCTGCAACGCCGAGCTGCAGAGGATGCGGCTGCAGGCTCTACCCGATTTGGCGCCTCCCGCCTCTGGATCTTGAGGAAGATCCGGTCCAGCAGCCGGGGCCTCGTGTTGAGGAAGGGGCAGGGGCACACCTCGCAGGGGCGTGTCGCCTTGGGGATGGGGCAGAAGATGCATTTCTTGGCCACAGGCATGATCCTTACCTTGAAGTAGCGCTGCATCCTGCCTGGCCTCTCCCTCGTTACTCTATGAGTTCCGATGGCAGTAAACACTCTTTTTTCTCCTCACACCCTGTTGTCTGTCATCATGAATCCCATCTTGTCGAGATCCGTCACTGTCAGGCTCCTGATACACATCTTGATCAGGTTCTCCACCTCGGTGATGCTCTTGCACTTCACGTTGAAGTAGGTCTTGAGGTGGGTCTCGATGGGCAGGAGCAGCTGTAGCTGTGGCATCTTGGGGAGCAGGATCACGTTGTGCATGAAGATCCCCATGCGCATGAGGTAGAGCGTGCCTATGATGAGCGTATTCTTCTTGATGGAGTTCATCGCCTGCCTGAACTTCTGGCTCAGCATGTTCAGGAAGCGGCCGATGTAGTGAGTGCAGCGATCGGTCACGAACCTCCGGAGATCTTCCTGGAAGGTGATCGAGCAGACCCTGATCTTGTTGGTGGCGTGCAGGATCCGGGTGACGACGAGGCAGAGGTTGGGGATCTCGTTCCTGAGCTTGATCTCCCTCAGCGTCTTCCACATGAGGTGCTTGTGCTTCTGCTCCATCCTCGACCTCTCCTGCAAGAAGCTGTTCCTCGCAACCTCAGACTGGAGTATCCAGTGGAGCCTGGACCTCACCTCGCTGCTCTCCACGTACACCTTGCACTCGTCCCCGTGCCCGTGGAGATCCTCGATCACGATGTTGTCCATGAATTCATCCTTATTGAACCTCTTGGTGTGAACGCAGTTCCCCGTGATGGTACAGACCTGGCTGTCCTCCTCCTCGGACACGGGGCACACTCCCACCTCACACCGGTGGATCACCCCGCACTCCACACACCCCGCAAGGTCCATGTCGATGCACTCCCATCGGCACCTGTGCCCCAGCAGCCCCTTGGGCAGCAGGAAGGGGGCGCTGATCCGGAGCCACAGCTGCGCCCTCTCGTCCTCGCATATCTTGCACCTCTTGCAGTTGGCACACCAGCTCACCCACTTCTGCACGCAGCGCCGGCATATCTTGCAGTCGTCGCATGCCCGCATCGAGGCCCTCGGGTGAAAGGAGGCCCCAGCCGTTGACCCAGTCTTGGACATTCTTTTTTTAATGGATTCAAATACCCTACCTCCTGTTACCACCCCTGATCCTTGCCTCCAGCCTGTGCCTGTCGTAGGCCACGGCCGATCGGCAGAAGTCCTTGATGTCCACCACGAACCTCATGATATGCGCCGGAAGCGAGTGCTTGGAGCACACATAGATCTGCACGTTGGCGCCGATCTCCGTGTTCAGCAGCGTGTGCCACTCCAGGTTCGTCGTCTTCCCGCACCTCACGCAGCACCTCTTCTTCGAGTGGGCGACGGGCCGGGAGACGGCGTGCCTGCAGTCCGTGCAGGTGAACTCGGTGCCCGTGAAGTTCCACCTCCGGCACTTGCCGCAGATGGGGCAGAGGTAGTAGCTCACGTTCTGGATCATCAGTATCTTCCCAAGCATGTTCACGGATATGATCGTGGAGTCGAGGTTGCAGTTGGTGCATATCAGCCGCTTGGTCTTCATGCAGAGGCGGAGCTTCGAGTGGATCCACTCCCCGTTGCCCTTGTTGCAGCACCTGAGGCAGATGTGGACCCTCATGACGTTGTTGAACTGGGCGTAGTCGTCGCTGTACTTCTCCAGCAGCATCTGGCACTGGTAGGCGACGAGGTTCGAGGGGAGCGTGTAAACCCGGCACCGGGAGTGTATGTGCTCGATGATGTTGAACTCCTCCACGGTGAGCTCGGGGTAGATGTTCCGGTAGATGTTCCACAGCACCCCCGGGATGGTAGTGCAGCGCATCTCGCTCGCATAGTAGAACATGTCCACCTGATTGTCCGCGAGCCTCTTCCACTTGCCTCCCATGTCTCTCTGCACGGGGGCCCTCCCCATGCGGAACTTGCAGGTCCGGATGCATCGGTCGACGCTGACGGTGGCCGCGTTGTTCAGTGACTTCCAGTCCCACTCGCACGACTGCAGGTTCTCCTGCCTGAAGCCGTCGGCGATGTTCGGGAAGATATCCATGAACATCGTCATCCCGTGCACCTTGCTGATCGCCTCCCTCTCGGTCACGAGGTTCTGGTTGCACATGAACCATACGTATTCCATCATGGCCAGCTTCAGGAGGTTGAGGTTGTTGAAGAGGAAGCGGGCCTGCAGGCTCAGGCTCTGGGTCATCGCCTGCCTGAGCTCCCCGGCTACCCTCACCCTGCACCAGAAGGATGGCCTCTTGGCCGTGTTGGGGTAGAGGCCCATGAGGAGCCCGTGGAGGATGTTCAGGAGGACGGTGCAGTGGGGATGCTGGAACTCCTTCTCGTCCATGAAAGTCACCCGGTTGCGCTTCAGGCAGGGCATGCTGTTGCACACGACGTTGACGATGAGGTTTGACTTCCAGTTCCTCTCGACAAGGCTCTGCATGATGAACCTCCCTATGTCCGGCAGGTTCCGGTGGCTGTAGGCCGCAACGGGGTGCAGGATCAGGCCCTCGGTGGGTAGCCGGTGGTATAGCTCCGGGTGGTACTGGGCGAGCCAGCACAGGATCAGCCGGCTGTCGATCAGGTGCTGAGCCTTGGCATCCCCCGAGTTGATCCTCCGGTGCAGGACCTCTAGCTCCCTGTCTATCGTCGCGTTCTGCGGGCAGAAGCGCCCAGCGCCGGGCTCCGAGACGGTGTCACCCGCCCCTCTCTGGTCTGTATCACACTCTTCGAGCGGCTCGGGCAGGTCCGCCGCCGTAGCCTCCGATATCGGGTAGATATCCACGGGCTCCCTCTGGCATCTCACCAAGATGATGCTCTGGGCCTCCCGCGTTCGATCACCCATGTGATGCAGCGTCTCGAACCAGGAGGGGCTCATTGAAAATCCTCCCAGGCGACGCGGTGCTGCTTCAGGTACTTCATCCCCATGTTATTCAGGCACACGCTGTAGCGGTTGCGCTGGTGTGCGACGATGGGGAGGGGCATGCACTGCACGGGGCCCCCGACCGGGCAGGTGAGCATGACCTGCTTCGCGTACTCTCCGGGCTGGTCGCATATGTTCCCGTGGCTCTGTATGATGCCGTTGAACCGGCTCCCTCGGTAGGTGATGTCGTAGAACATGCTCTGTGTCAGCTTCCTGAGGCAGAGGACACACAGTTGCTGTATAGGATAATGCGTCAGTGGCTTCCCTCCCTCCCTCTCCTCACCTGTTCCAGGGGCTGCGGGTCGTTGGGGAGGAGGAATTCGACGCATGTGAATGGCATGTTGGCATCGATGAACATACACTCGCAGTTGATGCCCATGGAGCAGGGCCTCTCGTGCTCCAATGGCTCCCTCATGTGCATCTCCTCCCATGCCTTGGTCACCACCTTGACTGGAGGGACCTGGGGGAAGCAGCTCTCGTTGTAGGCCCCGAACAGGCTCTGCATCATCTTCACGTAGGGCTGCCTGGAGATGATGCTGTCCAGCGCCAGCGACTGCCCCTCCGAGGTCCCCGCCGAGCGGATGCAGCAGCGTATGTCGTTGTAGAGGCAGTCGTTCACTACGACCTTCTCCGAGTCGTCCGTCACATCCGGGGTGACGCTCTCCGCCTTCTCACTGTCGGCCGACTCCGTCTCCTTGGGTGGGGGGTCGATCCGGTGCTTCTTCCTGTTCCTCTTGGGGTTGCTCCCTCCCTCGTTGGGGGTGGCAACGGTGGAGGAACCGGTGGCCCTCTTGGCCCCCACCCAATTCTCTGGTATGTTCATGCCTGCCTAGATCGGAATGCCCAAGATGCCGAGCGTACAGATCAGCACCACAGATATGGACACTAAGAAGAGCGGGTAGCAGACCAGCAGAATCAACCCCCTGCGGTCGAAAACAAATGAACCCCTGTGCAGCACAATACTCGAGAGATCCTCCAACTCTACGGGCATTCAGCTGCGGCGTGAGGCACGGGCAGGACATAGGATACACACAAATTTTTTTTTTATTTCATCATCGTCCTCATCGCAGTGGTGAGTATCTCGATCACCATGATCCACAGCATCACCACGATCACCGTGTCGTTGGCATGCAGGGTGTTGACGACCTTCTGTATCATGCCGAGTATGATGTTGATGATGAGAAGCACGGAGAGCTCCGTGATCGCGCTGGAGCTGGGGAAGAAGGATGACACCGCCTTGAGGATGAGGATCAGGAATCCCGAGACCACGATCATGGCCGTCTGATTGATATTCTGCAGCACCACCATGTTGTACACCTGAGACGCCCCCTGCCAGACGGCATAGTCCCGCATGGCCGAGAATTGCTCGTACACCATGGAGATGGCATCGAACAGCACCAACAGGCTCACGAGCTGCGTAAGCTGCGGGAAGCTGTCACTGGAATGCACGTTCACCGTCCAGCTGGAGAGGATCATCATGTTGGTGAGGGAGAGCGTGAAGGCCTTCGAGAGCACCACGTTGATCTCACTCCATCTCCCTCCCTGGCTGTTGCTGAGGTTGTACATGACCACAAATCCCGCCATGCTGAGGAAGGGGAGCGTCCAGCCGAAGGAGACGCGCTGGATGATGAACTCCGTGTTGCTGGTAAACATGAAAAGCACGAGCCTCATGAACTGGGCGCCGTCCTCGGATTCCTTGAACGCACCGGGTAGAAGGGTAAGGAGTATCAGGACACACAGCGATATGGACAGGCACTCGATCTGGGCCCTGGCATTGGCGGTCTCTAGATCCTGAGGCTGGAGCGATTGGATGATCGCCTGAGTGGAGATCAGGGTGGCGAACTTCTGGAATATCCTGGAGAGGTACTCTATGCTCTTCGAAGCGCTGGACTCGTAGGAACCACTCTTCAGTAGCATCCTGATGTTGTAGGCCATGAAGGCCACAAGGATGTTGAGATAAGCGATGACGCCCTTATCCAGCGACTTCCTCAGTAGCGCATAGAGGAAGCGCACGATCGTGTACATCAGCGCCCCCTCGATCCTCTGCGACATCTGGAGAACGTCACCGAACATTGTAGACTGCATCATTGTATTTCAGGTAGCCCTTGCCTACGAAATCTTTAAATGTGCGAGTTCCTCTACCCGCATCCAGCCAGATATAGAGCGCCTCGTGCCTGTATTCTTCATCGCTCTGTAGCTTAAAGCAGAGCATGGTGACATCACCAGCAGGGTCTATCACCATCCCATCATCCGAGGCAACGACCACACCGTCAGCCCTGATGCACTGGATGCGATCGACATTCAACATAAACTTCCAATCCGAAGTGAGCAGAAAATACATACCCCCGATATGAGAAAAGATCCGGTCCAAGACGGGATTCCTCTTGTAACGATCACTCCTCATGTAGAATTCGGTACAGATCTTGTTGCGTAATTCCGCATCCATTTGGTTAATGCCGTCGTCTGGTTTAGGTAGGATGCTGAGGTTCTCAGGATGATCGACATTCATCACAAATATGATCATGTCCGAGGATGTCTCGGTGAATGGCTTGCCCTTTGCGCCGTCGTATGCACGCTGGAATGCATCCGCGTCTGCAACGGATGAGAGCATGGTTGTGAGCATGTACAGCTTGGGTATGGCCTCCCACGGGCAGCAGTTCAAGACTATGTCGTGCTTGACGCGGTCTGTGATCGCGATGATCTCACCCGATACCCTGGCGTCCTCCGCTTCCTTGGCGGCCTGTATTCTGGCTTTCTCTTCACTGGCGGCCTGCTCCCTGGCGGCCTGCTCCTTGGCGGCCCTGGCGGCCTGCTCCTTGGCAGCCCTGGCGGCCTCGGCCCTGGCGGACGACCTCTTGGGCGCTGCATTGGGTTCGTTATCCCCTTGCCTCTTCTTTGCAGGCATCTCACAGTCGCACTTCGGGGTTAGTTTTATACCGCGACAAGCCGTTCCGCAACCATATATTTAAGTTCAAGAACAGGGGTGAGGGGCAGAGAGCGAATGAACGGCCAAACCGGTCTTTCGCAGCAGGCCCTGGCCTCCAACAACAACCAGAACGTCTTCAACAGCGATGTCTCACCCGAGGAGCTCTACTCCAACGCACCGATCACCATCCGCAGGAGGATCCACGTCAACATCTCCGGCACCATGGCCAACTTCCAGAAGCAGGGGGAGCTGGCCGCCACCTGGAAGCCCCGTGAGGGTAAGCAGGCGTCCGTCTTCGGCCTCTACGATGCCTTTGACAACTCCCTTGATCACCAGACCGCCACCAACGCGCTGAAGGGGGCGATGATCAAGAAGGCCACCGTGCTCGAGTACAAGAGCACCTTCCCCGTGCCGCTGGGCATCTCCGTCAGCTGCCTGAACCCGGATGAGGCCACCGACACCGGAGAGAGGTACGTGATGACCGCCCTCCCCATGACGACCAACACCAACCCGCTCGTCATCCACGAGTCCGACAGCTCATCCAACGAGAGCATGGAGTGGAGGAGCAAGTACCCCGACTACAACGAGCAGAACCTCGAGACCGAGGGCGTCATCAACCTCGATAAGCGCTACTATATGTTTGTGCACCAGAACCACCCCGTGATCGAGATGCTCAGGTGCAACAAGGACATGCTCTCGGCCAACATCGACGAGCAGCCCCTGGTCGACGGCCAGTACTACAAGATCGCCAACACCGTGATGAGGGCCATGTGCAACGCGCTGAGGACCAAGGTGCTCTCCAAGGTATCCACCCGTGACTTGAACAGCTTCCAGGTGCAGCTCCACCGCATGAATGGAAAGTCCTGGGACCGCATCGGCAAGGACGAGTTCGGGGATATCGTGGGGAAGAACGACCAGTCCTCCGTGGAGAAGATCAACGAGGCCCTCAATCAGCACTGCACCTTCACCTCCCGCGTGGAGTTGGAGTACGAGATCCAGACCTAGGTGAGTTGTTTTTTTTATTGAATTCATTCTACCCGGTCTACCCTCAGGTTCAGCGTGCAGAACTTCCCGTAGGTGTAGCTCTGGCACACCAGCCCCGGTCCGCAATCCCTGTCATCGAGGCAGGCGGAGAGGTGCTGCGGGTAGCCCCTGTCTCTGACGATCCTCCTGAATCTCACGTGCATCTGGTCGTCGAACTGTGCGGGATGGACGGGACGCAGCTGCATGATCGCCATATAGCCGATGCTGGCATCGAGCAGCAGCAACAACAGCGCGAGCATGACGGTAATCCCTCCCATGCTCACATGCCAAGGCCGGATCACCCGGTTGTTATATATCGATGCAACACGCATTGCAAACCACGGCGCACCCTGTAATGGGAGAGCTAACTCGTACTCTGCAAGCTTGTCTTGATTTTTTGGATGTATATAAACTAGGGTAACCACGAGCACATCAAAACCCCCGCTCGTCGGTATGGAGGGTAATACACAGGAGAGCCGTGGCTTCACCGATAATTTCATGCTGCCCAAGGGTGACATCGGTGTCAACCTCGCGGGCACCATGACAGCCAACAGCACCATGCCCACCATCCAGGACTATGAGAACATCTTTGGTCCCGCCGCGAGGCAGATCAAGTTCGACCCCCAGAGGCACAAGAGGCACCAGCGATGGCACCTCCCCGACGTCCTCCAGGGCTCCAACACCTTCCTCACCGACCGCGTGGATGGTCTCATCACCGATGCCACCAACTCCCCCTTCACCAGCGTGATCCTCCCTTATGTCTACCTTGAGAACCCCGATCAGAAGCTCAAGTGGAACATCTGGAGGTTTGACGAGGGTATGGCCACCCGCGTGCCCTACGAGTCTGCAGCCAGGGTGCTGACCCAGAGCAAGACCAGCCAGTCCGCCTACATCGTCAGGCAGGGTATGGCCCTCCGCATGGAGCACAACTTCATGATGTCCGCCGCGGGCAGGGAGAACTTCAAGCGGCAGCTGATGCAGCTCGTTGGGTCCATCCAGAAGACCAACGACCTCGATGTGCATCAGGCCCTGCTGCTGGCGCCGTCCTACGAGGCTCACCTCAGGGAGAAGTACCACACCACGGAGAAGACGACCCTCCAGCTCATCCGCCAGTACGTCGACAACTACGGGCTCATGCAGAAGCATCCGAACGCACTGGACATCATGATCGAGGATGCCAAGAACACGCTGAAGACCTGGGGATCCCCACCGCCGTCCTTCATGATGTGCAACGGAGCCCTCACCATGCAGATGACGTTCAACCCGGAGAAGACACAGTACTACACCAACGGCATCAGCGGGCCCATGCTCCTGAAGCAGGGGCCGGAGCTGCCGAGCTACCGCGGCCTGAGCATCATCCACTCCCGCAAGTTCGAGATCAACCAGGGAGAGCAGCCCAGGGATGTCCTGAGGAGGAGGTCCAGGGTCGCCGAGCACTACAGGATCAACGGGTACGTCAGGGATCTCCACGACAAGCGCTTCCGCTTCTACGACCAGTCCAAGGACTCCAACTTCGACCTGACCTTCCCCGAGCTGATGGAGCTGTCGTGGCTGGATGGCCCGAACCCTAGTGGCTGGGACGCAAACGATGACAGCACCCATGCAAGGACACATCAAAGAACGCAGGCGGGAGGCCATGAACAGGCCTCCTACGTCCGCCCTGGATTCGCGCTGAACTCCCACTTTGACATCTCTGAGAGCTTCCGCCCACTGGACATCGGGGTCCACCACCCAGGTGTGGTCTCGGAGAGTGCCAGGCGCTACGGAGAGACGGTGAGCTCCATGAAGCACAACATCTACGACCTCAACGAGAACCGCCTTGAGCACAAGCCCGATGGCGCCCTCCAGATCTCCGCGGGGATGAACTGCATCTCCCCCTCCAACATCATGAGCACGGAGAGCGTCAACTCGATGATGACCAACAACCAGGGCCTCCTGCACTGGACCGCGCACCAGTTCCGATCGCTGCACTCGACGATCAAGGCCACGCCCGAGCGGATGGACATGGTGTGCAGGGAGGCTACGCTCCTCAAGCTCAAGAGGACCCCAGCGTCTTCCGCGTGTCTGGTCATGGCGCTGACGACGGCCTCGATCGCTCCCGCCTGCATGGCCGGGAGCTTGTTCTGCTCGTGGCTCTCGGCTATCGCTGTCATCACCTCGCATAGACCTTGCTGTATCTTCGCGTTGCTGTGGTGCCTGGTCATGGCGCTGACGACGGCCTCGATCGCTTTCGCATCTCTCGCTGTGCCCTGGTATCGGAAGTACTGCATTGTGTACTTCAGGGCCTCACAAGCAGCCTGCTGTACTTTCAAGTCGTTCGCATAACTTGACATGGCGCTGACGACGGCCTCGATCGCTCCCGCCTCTCGTGCCCGCGCCTGGCTCTCATCCCTGAAGCTGATAGTGTTCTTCAGAGCCTCGCACGCAGCCTGCTGTACCCCCACGTCGTCTGCGTGCCTGGTCATGGCGCTGACGACGGCCTCGATCGCTCCCGCCTCTCGTGCCCGCGCCTGGCTCTCTTTGATGACACTGATGGTATGTCTCAGGGCCCAGCACGCAGCCTGCTGTACCCCCGCGTCGACTGCGTGCCTGGACAAGGCGCTGACGACGGCCTCGATCGCTCCCGCCTCTCGCGCCTGCACCTGGCTCTCGTCCCTGAAGCTGACAGTGAAGCGCAAGGCTTCGCACGCAGCCTGCTGTACCCCCGCGTCGTCCGTGTGCGTGGTCATGGCGCTGACGACGGCCTCGATCGCTCCCGCCTCTCGCGCCTTGAGCTTGTCAGCCTCCCCGTGCTGAGCCATGCTGACCAAGGCTTCGCACGCAGCCTGCTGTACCTCCGCGAGAGCCTCGTACGTCCTCATCTCCTGCATCACCGCCTCTATGCTGTCGTCAGCTCCCGTCCTCAGCAGCCTCCATGCCTCCCTTGCCGGCTGCTCCATCCCGACCGGCAGCGCCTGAGCTCCCGTCCTCAGCGAGCTGAGAGCGTCGCTGCCCGTGGACTCCAAGGCGATGCAAGCTGACTCTTGCAGCTCCACGAGCTCTGCGTACTTGCGCTTCCTGACTCTCCTCGCCACCGCCTCGATCCCTCCCCCCGCTGCCTCTCCGATCCTTCTCCATGCAGCTTCTGCCATGCTGCGTATGCCTCGGCATAGCGACTGGTTGCCGGCCCCTGCCCGCTGCTGTCCAGGCGTCCTGTCTGACCATGTCCATGCAGCAGCCCCCTCATCCTCCTCGGCTCCGGCTCTTCCTACAGCTACCGCAAGCTCGGCGAACCTCGGGCGGTCCTCCTCCCTCGTCGCCCAGCAGCTCTCCAGCAGGGCCCACAACCCGTCCGGGCACCCTCCGAGGAGGTGCTCTCGAGGCAGCCTCCCACCCCCGCACACGTACCCGATCACAGTCGGGTCCGTCATGGGGTAGTAGGGGGTCATGCCCGAGGTCAGGATCTCCCAGCACGTGACCCCGTAGGCCCACACGTCGCTCTTCTCCGAGCACCGGCCTCTCTGCATGGACTCTGGGGGCATGTAGCGCACCGGCAGCGCTCGCCCCGCTACCCTCCCGTCACTCCCGTCCACCAGCTCCCCTGCCCGCCCGTACCCCGCCACCTTCACCGACGTCCTCCCCACGTCCTCCTTGTCGAAGCCCATGACCAGCACGTGCCGAGCCGCGAGGTCCCGGTGCACGACCCGCTGCTCAGCCAGGTGCTCCATGCCCTGCGCGATCTGCTCCATCATCGCCATCTGGTGCCCTCGCGTCACCTGCCCCGCCAGCCTCCCCAGCAGAGCCTCTCTCAGCGACCCCAGCTCGGCGAGCTCGGTCAGCAGCAGGGGACAGCCGTCGGCGTCGTGGCTCTGCCCCATGTAGCGTACAAGCCGAGGATGCGGCCCGAGTCTGAGCATGACCGCGGCTTGTCTGCCGCCGTCGTCTTGCCTGAGCTTGAGCACGGCTACCTTGATCTTGCCGGGCCCTGCTCTCTTTCCTTGCACGCGGAGGTGACCTATGTAGAGGGTCTGGGAGGAGCCTGCTGAGATAGGCTGCCCCTCCATCTCCACGTCGTGCCTGGGGACGAGCAGCGCGTGTCGCTCCTGCCACTCCTGGATGGCGCTGCGGAGAGCGAGGTTGGGGACAAGGTGGTCGTGTCACACCTCGAAGATTCTCGAGTGGACCTTCAAGCGCAGTTCAATAAGAACTCACGTTGGATTTCTCTACTAAGAGGGAAAGCGGTGAAACAGAAGGAGATCTAACTCTCTTTTATTTCTTTCACACACACACACAAAACAAGACAAGACGATACACACAAAGACGTCTCAACAATCGTGGCACACACACGAAAGGGGAAGAGGACCACCTAGCTCTGACGAGTTTCATCCTTTTATAGCTTCGAGGAATGAGCCAGGGGTGCCGTCTCTTGGCTACAGAAAGGAGGGGTGTCCTGTTCTTGGAAGTTGACAAGCATCCCTTCTGACCTTCGAGAGGATACCATGCTCTCTCGCAGGGAAGAGAACCCCGTCCTTGCATGGCAGCAAGCTGCTTCCAACGGGTCGTACTGCACAAGACGCACCCCTTCTGTTTACCTTGTAAGTCCCCCACGGGTACACGGTTGCTGCAACAAAGGCCTCCACAGGGGTCCTTTCAGCAGCTTCACACTGGAGTAGAGTATCCTGGGTCATCCAGGAGAAGTCAGCTTCGAACACGAGTACGAGACAGCCAACTGTCCTTTCATCCTGATAGGCCTTTGTCTGACTCGGGCTCGGTTCCTATGAGCTCTGACACGCTCTTCTCTGCGCTTTCTTGGAGTGCTCAGGACTCAGAAAACTTCGCTTTCTCAGCTTGTCAAATCTGTTTTTCCTCTGACACGCTCCAGGCGCAGCACGTAAAATGCCTAATTGAGAGGCGCACGACGCTGCCGCTGCCGCTGTCCATGAGAAGAAGCAGAAGCATCTTGACGCGTGCGATGCTGTTCATATTGCTGAAGCAACTGACGGAGCGCCGGTGTACGCGAGAGATGGGCAACAGGTTCCCAAGTGTCGTCGGCGGAGGAAAATCCCTTCCAACGAACCAGATATTGCTTCGCACCATTACGTTGACGATGATTGATGATGCGAGCCACTTCGTAGAATCCAGGTACAGGTTGGGAAACCACAGGCTGCTGCAAATGATCTTTCCTGCGCACATGGGGGCGTAGGAACTTGGCATTAAAAACATCTTGATCCATGCGAGGGAAGCGCTGGCGAACATCAACTCGATAATTGTTGTTGTTGCAAACCTCGGTGATAGGGAAAGGACCAAGGTATCGATCTCGAAATTTGCGAATTTCAAACTGCTGATTGAATAAACGCGCGTCGATCCAGACCAAATCACCAACTTGCCATCGAAGCGGGCGGCGAGAAGGAAGTAGACGCGTCTCTGCTCGATTGGCGATCGAGGCCAAGGTATCTCGCACAAGGTTTTCACCTGCACGTATGTTGTCGACAGTCGTGCGGGCTTGAGGAAGAACCTGATCAAGGGTCAAATCCATAACTGAGCGCGGATTCTTGCCGTATTCCACTTGAAAGGCAGATAACCCTGTTTCACGACGGGGGGCATGATTGAGGGCAAACTCAATGAATGGAAGATGGACTGGCGCTCCCAAGCCTGGACCGCCTCAGAAGAAGCAGGAGCTTCGAGAGCGTTCAACCGCTGCTGAACCTCCAGCAGCGCGGCAGACATGTTTTGGAGCGACCGATCCTCGGTCGATTCGGGACGAAGATCGTCGTCAATGCCGGCAGCAGATTGCCAGTCATGTTCCAAAGTATCCGTAGCATTCTCGTCCAGCATGCGAGCTGCGAGTCGAGTATTGTATCCGGACATCTACGCGACGTAAGCGTAGGAAGAAGCAGAAGAACAGTGGAGAAAGGGAGGGGAAGAGAGAAGACTCGATCTCTGTCACCGATCACAACCTTGCTACCAATTTTATGTCACACCTCGAAGATTCTCGAGTGGACCTTCAAGCGCAGTTCAATAAGAACTCACGTTGGATTTCTCTACTAAGAGGGAAAGCGGTGAAACAGAAGGAGATCTAACTCTCTTTTATTTCTTTCACACACACACACAAAACAAGACAAGACGATACACACAAAGACGTCTCAACAATCGTGGCACACACACGAAAGGGGAAGAGGACCACCTAGCTCTGACGAGTTTCATCCTTTTATAGCTTCGAGGAATGAGCCAGGGGTGCCGTCTCTTGGCTACAGAAAGGAGGGGTGTCCTGTTCTTGGAAGTTGACAAGCATCCCTTCTGACCTTCGAGAGGATACCATGCTCTCTCGCAGGGAAGAGAACCCCGTCCTTGCATGGCAGCAAGCTGCTTCCAACGGGTCGTACTGCACAAGACGCACCCCTTCTGTTTACCTTGTAAGTCCCCCACGGGTACACGGTTGCTGCAACAAAGGCCTCCACAGGGGGTGCTTTCAAGAAGCTTAAACCTGGAATA